AGTTACCTCCAAGGATTGAGAAATGGATCATGGAAATGCAAGATGTAGATTATGAATTAGTGTATGAACCAGGTAAAGATGCAGCAGATCCGATGGATTACTTATCGCGTCATCCACTTCCAGAAACAGATATGGATGATACAGAAAAAACGATCAAGATGATTATCAATAATGAACATGGTGTGGTTTTACAGACCATAAAGGAAAGAACTGCATCTGATAATGTTCTACAGGATGTTCTGAGAAGAATGAAATGCAATGATTGGGAAATCCATAAGAACAGACCAGAGATGAAACTATATTATCTCATAAACAGGAACCTGTTAAACCATCTGAAATACCAGAATCAGCATGGCATACTATTTCTGTAGACTTTGGTGGTCCATATCCTGATGATCACTATAATTTAGTAGTTATTGATAAGCGAACAAGATTTCCAGTTGTTGAGCAAACAACATCAACTTCGTGCAAAGTTACCTGTGACAGATTGCGTAAAATATTTGCCACACATGGAATACCAGAAAGGTTGGAATCAGATAATGGTCCTCCATTTAATTCCAGTGAATTTACAGTATTTGCAGAAGAAATGGGATTTATCCATCATAGAATAACACCTGATCATCCTCGAGCAAATGGGGAAGCTGAAAGCTTTATGAAAGTATTGAATAAGACAGAGAAGATTGCACGAAGTGAAGGAAAACCAAGCAATACAGCCATACAATACATGTTGATGGGATATAGATCAACGCCACATCCAGCAACAGGATATTCTCCACATGAAGCCTTAATGAAACGAAATGTCAGGACAAAGCTTGATTGTACTAACCAATTCAGACCTACAGATATACAGAAAATGGAAGCTGAGATTGCAGACCGAGATAAAGCATACAAGAAAAAGTGGGAAAATCAAAATAGACATCCAAAATCTATGCAGCATGAATTTAAAATTAATGACAAAGTTTTGTTTAAGAATAGAGAAATGAATAAATGGTCTACACCATATGAGAAAGAACATTACATTGTCACAGAGGTTTTAGGTTCGAGTATTAAGGCACAACGAAAATCAGAGGGACGTATCATTTACAGAGATGCTTCGAAATTTAAATTACTACATGAACCAAATGATGACCGTTGGAGACAACAATTATTGAGTACCCCAGACAGACATAGACATTTGCAGCCAAATAATTCAATACAGGACGAGAGGGATCAAGAACCAAGGACTGATGGAATTGAAAATGAAGCTGAACAATCCAGTAGTGACCCAAGGGAGGTTGAACAACATCAATCACAAAAACGTGAAGTTTCAAAACGTACCAGACGTTTACCATCTAAATTCAAAGACTATTTTTTGGATTTAAAGAAAAGATAGACAAATTAATATAGATACAAAACTTTATTTTATAATGCTTAATCTTATTTTCCTATGGTATACTTTTAAAATTTATTTCTTTTAAAATATGGGAGAAATGTGATATTGACAAATTAATGCTAGCTTTACTTGTTAGATAATAGCTTTACTTGACGTCGACGACGTCACTTGGAGATGACGTCATCTTTGTCTTAGATGTATTCAGATCAGTTGAATAAACTTTATAATCATGAATTAGAGTTGATTAGTAGAAGACATAACACTGACAAAGTTTGATGATGATTAAGGCAAAATTGTAACCTCTTTTTATACGACCGTGCGAGTAGTATAGGGGTCTCTTTAGCGTCACGACTACGCATGCGCAGCGGCCATTTTGTTTTTTATCAATTGTTACTCATTTGCATAGAAGAAATGAACTCAGTACACATGCGCGGCGGCCATTTTGAATAACAGGTGCGCGGCGCCCATTTTTGGATTCTATTTTAAAAATAACATCATCGTGTTATAAATAGAAACGTGATTAAAATATATCTCCCGGAAATATACAGAGCTGACTTGTATACACGATTTAGGGCGTGGTCGCGCACATTGAGGGTCAGGTTTCTTAGCCCTAAACGAAGAGATGACCAACTATTACAGAGAAATAAAACATTTATTTTATTATAAAACTTTATCAAGCAGTATAAATAAATAAATTGTTGAACAATATAAGTGAAAAAATAATTATAACATGTCAAAATAAATTACAGATAAAAAGAACTATATACGAAATATATTTAAATATCATAATTATAGATTTATCCATACACGAATTGAATTTATATAAAAAAGACGAACTTTATTGATGCAAAAATAAATATATAAAACGAAATATTTTTTTATTAAACTAAAACATAATACAATGTATGAAATAAATACATTTTACCTGAAAATAGTAATTTTGTTGACGATGTTTCCTGCTAGACGTCCAGTTATAAAATGACTCCAATCATAAATGTAATTGTACTTATCGGCATGCTCGGACCTGTTTTTACAAACGACATCATAAGTTATATTTAGATCAGGTCACGAGTGCACCGAACGTGATCATAGTTTCAGTGTCTAGCGTCTATTTATTTAAGAGCGGATGACGGACAATAAAAAGTAAACATGTCAAAGTTAATCTCCTGCGTATGTTTATTTAAGACCAGATTGTTTAACAATATCCTATTCAACTGTCAAAGTGAAGGCGGCGGCGGCGGTGGCAGTGGTGGCTGCGGCGGCGGTGGTGGCGGTGACTCAAAGAATTACACTCATAAACACTTAGTGACACTGGTTGCCAATCACCACCGCGTATAGCTTTAACCAATCACATTGCAAAATAAAAATGGTTTAAAAGTCATTTTTGTACATAGCCCTATATCATTCCTAATTAGGATAGCGAGGAGTAAAGACGGGGGTACGCTAATTTGAGTTATTTTGATGGTATTTAACGCATGAGTGACTTTACTTCCGGGTTGAGTCTGTAGTCATATGGAGCTCGTCAGGACCTTTTGTTAGAGATCCAACATGACTAGGTTATCTCCAGTAATGAAGAAGTGAGGTTGCATTTTATCATGTCTTTGAGTAATTTGACAGTACGAGCTGATAGCATTTGTCAAGACCTTTCGTTTGATATGCAACATGCATATGTTTTGTTCATAAACGAAAAAGTTATAAGTATTAACGCATGAGTGATTTTGTCTGCAATATTGAAACACTCCTATCTCAGAAACAGTAAAAGATAGATCCATAAAATTATACGTTTTCTGTATCTACTCACCGAGATCTTTCCAATGGTATATGAACCTAAGTGTTTTATGGACTTTGAAAAATTGGTTTAAAATCGCTAAAGGGCCATAACTCGAGAACGGCTGAAAAATCGAATCGAGAACCTAGGGTTTATTTCGAAGCATTTTAACAGATCTATCAAATGAAATAAATATCTTGAAAATCGTTATTGCAAAATGTTGCATAAAAGACAAAAAGGCGTTTTTCCTAGATACATAATGTAAAATTTATCCAACTGAGTCTTTAAGTGTTCATTTTGAAGAGTTAATATATCAATCAAATAAAAAGAAAAATATTTTCATTCGTATAAAAAATGCAGGTCGGGGAAACCACATCCTAGGCATTAGGGCGTCTTTCATCCTGTTCTAAAGTAATACACGCACAGGGATTAACTTCACATCTCAATGGCGCATTGTTAACCCATCCGTCCTTAAATCAACACACGCTAGACGTAATGGCGACTTTAAAAGGATTAACTTTGGCATCTCAACAGTCCTTTGTTAGTGTATCCGTCCCTAAATAAACACACGCCAAACATTGCGGCGACTTTAAGGAGATTAACTTTGACAGTTGAATAGGCTATTGTTAAACCATCTGGTCTTAAATAAACATACGCAGGAGATTAACTTTGACATGTTTACTATTTATTGTCCGTCATCCGCTCTTAAATAAATAGACGCTAGACACTGAGACTATGATCACGTTCGGTGCACTCGTGACCTGTATGGATAAACCTATATGATATTTAAATATATTTCGTATATAGTTCTTTTGATCTGTAATTTATTTTGACATGTTATAATTATTTTTTCACTAATATTGTTCAACAATTTATTTACTTATACTACTTGATAAGTTTTTATAATAAAATAAAACTTTTATTTCTCTGTAATAATTGGTCATCTCTTCGTTTAGGGCTGAGCACCTGACCCTCAATGTGCGCGACCACGCCCTAAATCGTGTATGCAAGTCAGCTCTGTATACTTCCGGGAGATATATTTTATTCACGTTTCTATTCATAACATGATGATGTTATTCTTAAAATAGAATCCGAAAATGGGCGCCGCGCATCTGTTATTCAAAATGGCCGCCGCGCATGTGTACTGAGGTCATTTCTTCTATGCAAATGAGTTACTATCGATAGAAAACAAAACGGCCGCTGCGCATGCGCAGTCGTGACGCTAAAGAGACCCCTATACTACTCGTGCGTATTGGCGTATCGGTAGGTACGCCACTGTCGGTACGCAAAAAGATATCTTGAAATGTCAAGCCTGGTCCGTTTCTGGTCGTCAGTCAACTGTCTGGAGACCCTTCTAGCGATAACCTTTGACATGCCATAGACATCAGTCAGAATTGCCTGAACTGAACCAAAACTCATACCCACTTCCCTAGCAATGCTTCGCAGGGCTCGCCTTCTGTTGCTCTTGCCTAGATCGTGCACAGCTTCGGCAGTTTCATCGTTGCATGGTGGCCTCCTTTGGCCGCCCACCATCTCCAATGCCCCCCCCCCCTGCCCCATTTTAAATTCAGCAGTGCTAAAGGAAGGGGACTCCTTCCCAAGTGTATCCATGAAGTATTCATGGATTTTCTTGGGGGACATCCTTTTCTTACAGAGGTACTTAATGACGGCTCTAATTTCAACTTTTTTCCATTTGGTCTAAATGACACACACCTCTACTGATCAAAGTTTGTTTTATGTTGCTTAATCTGTGTATTTGTATGAGTTGGTGATGGTGCAATAAAGACTCTGTGGACATTTTATTTGTGCATACTTTAAATAAACGTGACGTTTGGAAGAAAAAAAATTAATAGTACTTACCTTAACCTTCTAATTGTCCAATTTATACACATATTAGATCAATTTATTAAAATTTATAACATTCAACTTTTCGTTTCAGTAGCTTGTAAAAAAACCTAAATCTATTTTTAGAGACACTTCCGGGTCAGTAACGAAATTTAAAGCGTGTACTTTGACACGAGTGTTCAAATAGAAATAATTCATCCTCACAATAATATATATGCAACTGAATGCTGTAAATTTGAAGTTTTCGGGTCACTTTTGTGTTTCAAGTTGATTGGCATTAAACAAAAACAATTACCGTTGGCCATTTACAAAATATACAACTGAAGTATGGCTAATTAAAACATACGATACAATGAATTTAATGTACAATGGTTAAGAATATATGCATTTATAAAATACGTGTTTCAAAAGTTAGTGATACTTAAAATCCAAGAAAAACCGAAAGTAACAAACACGGGTGAACATTATTATTATTATTTCATAATCAATGTCATCTGACATCTCCACAGTGTTAAGCTCCACAGTGTTGAGAATGACTGATGGTAGCATGCATTTTGCGTATCAAAAATGGGTCAAAGACAGAAAAAGCTGGGTTGCATTTGTATACCAAATATCATGAGGCTGTGATGTTACGAAAAATGTTGCCATTGACCACTAATGTCGAAAAAATTTAACCAAGTCAGTAAACAGGAAGTGGATAAGCGACAGACCTGAAATTGATTGCATTAATGTCGGAAATTTAACTAAGTTAGTAAACAGAAAGTGGATGAGCGACAGACCTGAAGTCGATCCCAGTTCGGTATGGGACCACATGTTAAAGTTGTATATCAAATACCATTAAGAGGCTGTGATAAGTAGTTGCTGAGAAAATTTCAAAAACGTTACGAAATTTCCTACCATTGACCATTAATATCTCACAAGTTTTGTCATCATCCAAGGACGAAAATTTTACAAGACAAACAACCGTCAACGCAAACGACCACTGGCTGAACTTAAAAGTTTCGAAGTTATTATGAAACTTGGAATCAGTCCGTCTAATAGTGACTTAATGAATATACGGTGTGCGAAATGAAACAAAATAAGATATCTTTGCCTCATTTCCAAGTGTTCATACTATGTGTTGAGATGACCCCTAAATATAAGCGTAACTGTTCCCCATGTCTATTACGGTCAATAATCACCTCAACCGGTATTACCTTTGAATTTTAATAGGTCCTTATATTTTATTATTATTTTATTATCATATTTAATTAGTAATTTTTTGAATTCTCTAGAATTTCTTTACAAATCCTCCAATGTATGTTATGACTGGCCTTCTCCCAGACATTTTGGAGAAACATTTGTGAAAAATATGAGTCAACATTTAAAAGTTAGTAAATATAAATATTTTGAAAGCGGCTTAAATTCTGTTGGGTTTATACTTAATTATTTTAGTTTGATTGTGTTAGAAGCTATAAGCTTAACAAACCAATAATAAGCAATGGATGTCAAGCTCCTTTCTCAAGGAAACAACGGCCTGCCCCACGGGATTTGTACCCTCAGTGACACCAGGGGCGTAGCTATGCCGTAATCGATATTACGCACGCTCAGGCGGGGGGTTAAGGGGGCCGCTATAGCTCCTTGATTTTCACCATTTAGATGTTAAAATTATGCATTTCCATGCCCATTTGAGGTCCATAAAATTACAAATTTAAGTAAGAAGGAATTTAATATTATCATTAATATCTTTTTATGTAATGATATGACTTGTGTTGATATGCGAAGTGATAAGTGAGTTAGAGAACGTCTTAAATAAAATTGCTAGATCGTATAATTATATTTCAAGGTATTTGATACACGTTATATAAGGATAAACATTGTATAAACAGACGCAAACAAATGACGTGTACGCTTTCACTAGTGACAAACGGCGATATTTCCGTACAAATTTATCTACAACAACGTCAGTCTGAATCACCCTGTCTCTATGGATCTGCAAAAGTTCTAAGCCAGGGAGGTGACCAGTGGTCATCGTTGAGCGTAAAAAAGTCTTTAGCCTTCTCATGCTGATGAATGAACGTTCAGTACTGGCATTGCTGGAAGGAAATGCAGACACTTGTTTACATTTGGAAGCTCTGTCGGTATATCTTACAGCACATATTCTATAGTGGATGGAGCCTGCAACAGTGATGTTTCTCACCGTGTTATAGGTTTACAGAAAATAATGTGTTTTCTTCATTTTTAGATTTTTTTTTCAATTTAAATATAAATATAACTAAAATCTAAAAATGTTATCAGTTACAACGTCATGAACGTAGCGATGATTATTATCTTTAATTACTTTTATCTTTCCCGTTGTTGTTTTTATTTAAGGTGACATAATTATATAGTGCCATTACAATAAAACGCATAGAAAATTATTACAGGTCCTATGATATATACATGTATAGGATCTCACATGAGTTGTTATTGATGTAAAAATATCATTTAAAATGATTAAAGAAAAAGTTACAAACCTTTGACGAGATTTAAGATTTTAAGTAATGACAACTAATGTAAATTTCTTTTTATTACACAAAAAATCGCATTCAAATTAGTATAAATACATAGGGTTAAATAAAAGTAATATCGCCAGAGTTCAGTCAATTTTAATAATTATCCCACACGAATACATCTTTCAGATATAGTCGTGTGGGATTATATAATTTGCCAATAAGTAACTGATGAAAGAAATTATAAAAGTAAAAAAGGCCTTTGAGACATAAAGATAAAATAATTCTGGGACATCCTGGGCCTTTGAGTTTATACTTAAGGAGCGTCACTGAAAAAAGAAAACAACAACAACAAACACAAGAAACGTTTTTACTGTTGAACATATTTTTCCTCTTGTGCATTTTGGCGATTAATACAGTTAAAGGCCTAGGAATTAAGTATTTTGTATGGAAGTCAAAATACTACTTTGTTTACATTTTGCTACTTTTATGACAAAAAATTTCACATTAAGCGCTACTTTCTTCATGTAAGAAGCATTTAACAAGCTCTGAAACCATTATTTATTAAATGTTTTGAAGCAGCACATTTGCAGATTCATACTAATTTTCATGAAAATTTCAAAATGTATTTAACGGTATAATATTGTAAAGTTACCAAAAGAATGCAATTTAGACATTATCAATGCCACTTTCAACCTATATGTAAATTACTAAAAAGAGGTCAAAATATGCAAAAAATAGCCCTTACTGCGTTAGTAACGCAGTAGAAATATAGTTACTGAGAAATTCTGTCACTAATAGCACATAACATGTAAATATTACTAGAATTTTCAAACCTTTTTACCTTTCCTAAAATCTTAGTACACTTTTCTCAGGTTCGATTTTATCGAAATATTTTTGCTTATCTGGAGGCGTGCAGCTTTAAAACTTGATCTCGATCCTGTTTCTCTTTTTTAAAGAAGTAATAATATATTCATTTCTGAGGCATGATTGTCCTTTTTCTCGTCAGTTACAACGTGGTTACAACTAGCGACGTCGGTGTGATTTATCTATGATAATATTATATATTATTGTTGTATGGATATGTGACAATGTTCAACACATATTTATTTAAGGTATTTAAATGTGTTTTAACGTGAAGAGATATATACAAATGCAAACGTTTAAACGGACACATAAATGAACAATGAAACACTATAAAGTTTATCTTTTCCTGAGAACATTAGCTATTTGCTCCATGGGCGTCGCATCAGTGGCCTCGTCGGCCTCATGGAGCGGCGTTGCAGGTCTCCACAATTGTTTTGCTGTTAATCTCGCCACATACAGAAATTAACTGTTATGTATGTAGGGCGAAGTGTATTTTGAGCGAGCATTAACGTGATCAAGGTGGCCCCCTAAAAACCGTATTGTGCTTCATATAATTCTTTATGGATTAATACTTTATACGTTATATTATTATTGCAACTTATTACCTAAATACTTCGATGATCTATATTTATAATAGAATCAATAATTTAATTAGAGCTAGATCTATACAGATTTTGGAACCATGCCTCAAAACACTCCAACACCTCCCACGCCTATACCCTGTAGTTTTCTCATCGTTTTTAGTATATTTGAATTTTCGTTTTCCTGGATCAATGTTACGTACGTGCGTAGGTGCGTAACGCTAGCTACGCGCCAGCAGCATTAAGAACTATTTGGTACTCATCGTTACAACGTATAGACTAGCGTTTTTAATACAAAACCGGTTTATGTACATACATTGTTCGCTTGAATGATTCGAGCTGTATTTAATGGGTGGGAGTGGTTTCGTCTAACTACCGGTTCGTCTAACTGATCTTAGTAAAACAGGTAGTGGTTTCGGCTAACTAAATTTATATAATGAACAATAGCTATGGGCACATCAATTATCGCGGGTCTTAATGTGTGGTTTATCACACATTTTCATGCAATTAAAGACAAGATATTGAAAATTTAAACATATTATTTATTCTTTTCTTTAGTATAATAATGATATTTACATAAAATAATAACACAAGATCTCAGTGAACTAACAACATCATAGAAATATACATACGTTTAAAAGTACAACCTGAAAAAAAAACTAAAGAGTCAATACAAATTACATTTCACACAAATTTATTTTTATAATCTATGTCAAACTATATATACAAATAGTTAAAGCTGAAAAAAATGCTTTTAATCGGAATAAAATCGACATATATACTAAAAAGATAAAGCTCGAAAGAGAAAGAATTAACAATGCATAAAAAATCCACGTACGTAATTATTATAAACAACACATATTTTTTTAAACATGTTTAAACGAAACCACTTTTGCACCTCTTCATAAATTAAGTTAGCCGAACCGGTTTAGACGAAACCACCCTAATTCGTATTTAATCTGGGTTTTCATATTCGAAAATCAGTTTCTAGGGACACTCACACATTCAAATTCAATGCCAAAATTATTTTGTGAGGAGTACAATTTTAAACGTGTACACGTTTTACCTTAATAAAATGTATTGTTTAAATTTCAACGCAAAGATTTTACATCGTTTTGTATAAATGTTAAATGTTTTGCAAGGATTAGGCCCAACATTCGGTGGTATTTGACAGTCACTTTCCTGTGATGGCAAATGGGCACAGGTTTCCAAAAACATTTTCCCTTAAATAACACTGAAATCAATTCAAAAACGTTAAAAGGGTTTTTTTTGTTTTTGGTTTTTCCTGGACGAGTCGACCACGATTTGCAAAACATTTATATGACAGAGATAAAATTTATTAACCAATGCTTTATGCTATATTTGCACGTTTATTATGTCATCTTGTATACTGTCCCTAAATACAAGCGTTCTCGCATATTGCATCCGAGTGTTTTAGTTGTTATTTGTAGAAGTTTTGTAGGAAATAAGATGGTACTAATCCGACGCGTTAATTACTCGCCCACGCCTCCACTCAATTTGAATACCGATCACATGCAAAATTTCAAAGGAATAAATACCGAAATGTTATCACACATCAAATTAATACGTTAAAATATTTATAAGAATTCTGTGTAAATGCAAAAAACAACAAGCAAATTCGTTGAATTTATATCCCCCGCCGAGTACTGGTTATTATTAACACAACAACTGAAGACATAAGGCTTTATTTCTATATTAATCATGGCATAAACAGTAATATTCTTTGAACTTGATAAATATTCAGGGCAATAACAGAGCCATAACTTTGTGTTAAATAGTAATATCTGGAAATGCCAATGAGATGTATGCATACTACATAACTAATAAAGGGCCATAAATCTGAGTTATAAGTATCTGACCGGAACAAGGCCACTATATGCACATCTCCTTTTGGTATTGAAGGTTCCCATAAAGTTTCGTTGAATTCTAGGCAGTAGTTGCAGAGAAGTAATGCGGAAACGATTTTTACTCTATATGCATACTACATAACTAATCAAGGGCCATAACTCTGAGTTAAAGGGTCTGACCGGAACAAGCTGACGATATGCGCATCTCCTCTTGATATTGATGATTTCCATACAGTTTCGTTGAATTCCAGCCATTACTTGCAGAGAACTACTCCGGAAACGAAATTCGGACGGACGGATGGACGGACAACGCCAAAACTATATCCCCCTTCCGATTCCATCGGCGTGGGATAACCAGCAACACGCGACCAATGTGGCCTATTGAGTATTCCTACACATCAAAACTCCAAACCGGTGTTTAATAGCCGATTAACACCGTTCAGATTAACACCGCTCAGATCGATATTATTTATTTAATAGAAATGTGTACCTTCCATTGAACACAGGCAAGCATTCAAGGTAAATGATAAAGCTACTAATTATACTAGTTACTATGTCGCATTTTTAATGATCAGAGAATATATGAAAATATTTCATATTTTAATGGAATATGATGACACAAGACACAGTTCTCGTATAAAAATTACCTACGAGCACTTCAGAAGCTTTCAACAACCAAAATTTTAACAAAATAATATAATAAGTTGTATACAATATCATATCCATGACCGAAATCCCTGAAAGTTGAAATCGTTTACTGTAGTCAAATTATCATATTATATTGAGATATTATATACTGATATTAACATAACACCTTTGTGAGATATGGATATTAGATGACAGACATGGTCAATCAGATATGTTTCTTAAATGGAAGCAGCATAATAAATTTGCTGACACTTATCAACAAACATAGATATGTAGATAGTCTACCAACTTGTGAAAGTTCTTGTTATAGTAAAATACCTGTTTTATAGCATTTTTTCAACCAATAACATTGAACAACATAATATCATATACATATATTGATAAAATATTTTATTATGGTATGAAAATTACAAATGATGCACAGTGCATGAATTTCATCATTACAACAAATATTATATATGTATATAAATAAATCAGTTCACCATGAACTAAAGTCACTCAAACTAGATTTTGCCTTCACTTTTTTCTTTGCAGTTACTGTACTGGAATCAGAATCATCTGTGGTATGTCTTTTCCTGAAATATCAAGATAATTAAATAAATGTATTTCTTGTCTAGTGTCAATTTGCTTTGGTATCAAAAAAAAACAAAAAAAACAATCATTATATTCCAATAATATTCGTTTACAAAACTGATGTTTAAAAAAAAGACAAGAGGGCCATTATTGCTTTGGATTGCTCATCTGAGATACATAGCTTGAAAAAGGTCACAGTTTATTCTTCTATGCTAAAGTCAGTATTAAGATCTTATAGGGTTTGTCGTTGGGTAAGGCCAATAATGACCAAAGGGCCATAATTTATGAAATTTTATAGAGGACGACTAAATGTAGGTAATGCTATATACAATGTACAAATATCTAAGCTCTGGGCATTGTAGTTTCTGGAAAGGAAATTTTTAATTATTTCCCTTTTAAAGTCTATTTCAAGCTCCTACTTATGCATTAGACTAGAACCATTTATGTAACTTTTGTACAGGGTCACCTAAGGATCATTTCTGTGAAGTTTGGTCAAAATCTAAAAAGTTTGTTTAAAAAAACATTCGTTTGACTCCTTACAGTTATCATTTTGGAAACAATATTTTTGGAATAAAACTATTTTAATATTTAGTGGTCTGAATCCAAATTAAAACTCAACATTTATTCTATGTTGTTTCATCTGTGTACCGAGAAAATTTTTTTTAAACATGTGATTTCATAAACAATAATTATGTGTGAATCATTTTTTCTATATCTTTCTTTTTTTTTCCTGCAAAACTGATGGTTTAAGAATTTCACTGAACATGTAGTTATGTGTCGTAAAGGTAGCAAAATGTAAATATTATACTAAATAAGAAGTATTTTGACTTCAATACAAAAACCTACTTCACTACAACTTAACCAATTGCCAACAGAGCTAAAGAAGCAAAACATAGTTCACATATATAGCAAATGAGTATGTTTATGAAACTGTGATAAAATACCAAATATAAACAATTTTTGAGAAATAAAATGAAATAGCTTTTCTCAAGCATAATAGGTCTTTAAAGAGTTATCATTTGGAAACCATTTTTTATTAACAAGTCACCACCTGTTGGGGGCAGCACTCAACTTTTTTACCTTTTCTAAAAGCAAACAATGAAAAAAGATTACACAAATCTTAAAGAAAACACGAAAGAAACTAGAAATGTGTCATCATGCCACAGATGTCCCTGCATGCAGCAAAAATTTCAGATGCTATAATATTTAGTTCCAACTTTGTTTGCACAAACTATTTTTTTCATTTTAAGTTCAAAGCCCTTAAAACTATTCAATGTAAACACAAACCATTTATATACAAAGTTCAAGTTAACATTTTGTAAATTGCATATTGCATATTTGTAGCCAAAATAATGACTACATAATGACTACATACATGTCCACAAAAGTATGAGTGCTGAAACTGAAAATTCAAAATTTTTCCAACATTCAAAGAGATAACTTTGTCCAAAATCATTGAATCACAACCAAATTCAAACTTGAACTGCTTATTCCAGAGATGTATCTATATGTCAAATTTGACTTGAATGTGTACAACAATTTGGGAGATAATGAAGGGAAACTAAAAATGTCCTTTTTTTTCAAAGTTCAAGAGGGATAACTCTGTCAGCTATCATCAAACCATAACCAAAAACTTGACCAGTGAATTCTTATGACATATCCATATGTAAAATTTGAGTTGAATATGTACAACTGTTAGGGAGATAATGAATGGAAACTGAAAATTTCCTTTTTTTCAAAGTGAAAGGGGCATAACTCTGCCAAAAATCATTGAACCATGACCAAATTCAAACTTGACCTGCCTGTCCCTTTGACGTATTCATATGTCATATTTGAGTTGAATGTGTAATACCATTTGGGAGATCATGAACGGAAACTGAAAATTCCATATTATTTTCAAAGTGAAAGGGGCATATTCTGCCAAAAATAATCAAACCATGACAAAATTCGAACTTGACCCGAGCATTCCTTCAAGGTCAAGGTCATTGATACGGGAAGGTCAGACTCTGTCTGGTAAACTTGAGTGTCAAAAAATCAACAAACTTACAAAGTACTTGGATTAATATATTTGCCAACCCCTGATGTAAATGACTTTGGCACAAAACTGGGCTCCTCCTTTTTACTCTTGGGCTTCTTTCTGTCGGCATCTTCTTGTGCCTGTCGACTTAACTCCTCTTCTCTCTCCTTAGCCAACTGAAATAATTACAATCACAGTTACATAAGTTGATCATAGTAATAGTTGATCATTGTAATTGCTTATATACAATACTAAGAAAACTGTCAAGAAACTATTTTATCACTGCAAAAAGCATCATTTTTTGTGGGGCACTGGCATAGAGCCTGGTCATAATACATGGACATACAGAGTTTTTAACTTTTGACTGGTTGGGTTTTATGTTGCACTAACACTGTATAGGACAAATGGTGACTTTCCAACTTTACTGGTGAAGAAGAACTAGAGTGCACCTCCGTGCATTATTTCAGGCACAAAAGGTCACCTGAGCAGAACCACTGACATTCTGTAAGCTAGCTGGAGAGCTTCCTCATATAAAAAGAATCCAAATTCCCTTGCAGGATTCAAACCTACAGCAGTGAGTTGCAAGTGGTTTTAAATCAATGACCTTAACAAGGCAGCCACAGACGCCCCTAGAATGTACAGGTTAGGCTGGCTATATATTGGTTGCAAAAGCTAATCAGGTATGATTCTCCCAGAGCTATTCTACTGTGAAAACTATTACATCGGAACTTATAATACTGCATGTTTGTAACATTGCTTTTCATTGGATAATCATGACATTTATATAGTTTTATTTACACGGCTGCTGTCAACTTATGCAGACATTTTACATTTTTCTCTAAAGAAGGAAATTTGCTGTATTACAAATTCCCTGACAGGTTATATAGCCATGCAGCTTGGGTTATATTTCCAATCAACCATTTATATAGGGCCATATAACCTGTCAAAAAAGCTATAAAATTACCTCTTCATCGACCTCTTCATAGGGGTTAACAAACACAGCACATCCTTCAATCTTTATCTCTTTCTGTAACAGTCAAACATTAAAATCATCATACATTCATAAATAACAAAGAAATGCTTTGCTTATGATATTATTATTTCATTAACTCAATGACCATACTACAACAATATTTTGAAATTTATTTAATAAAATATGACATGGAGTACGTATGATACTTAAATTAAATATGGTAAATATAAAATTAAGTAAAATCTTAATGTTATGAGGGGTGTTCATTTAATAATGAAAACAGTCTTGTAAATGCGAAACCAAGTCAGGTATATTAATAAAACTACAGCAGCACAAAATATAAAACTAGAGTAGAATTTTTGGCGCCAAATATAATGACATCGTCAGGACTTTGTGTACTGATGATGTCATTAACAGATGACGTCACTTTCTGTTCTGTTCAAAATATATATGTATATGACATATTAACAGCCAACGTAGTTGGTGTGCATTGATTGCTATGATGTAAATTAAATCATCCAAAAACGGCCGACTAATAATGGATAAATTTAACTTAGATTCTCCATACGAAAATTGAAGATGGGTGAAGTGTCCTAAAAATTTTAAGGTTGTTCCCTGGGCTAAAAAGTTGCGATTTGCAAAGCAGATTGACTTGGTTTATACAGAATTTATTTTAGTTCGATTGTGTAGGAAGCTATTACCTTATAAACACACTTTCGAATCCGTTCCTTGAACCAACCAGTACTGAGCAATGAGTGTAAAGTTTCTTGCTCAAGGAAACAACGACTTGCCCCTGTCAGGGTTTGAACCCATGCGGGTAGCCATCATAAGATTACTAGTCTGAAGCGTTAACCACTCGGCCATGCCGCATACATAACTTTAAGGACATTGTGTACTATGGCTTAGCTAAGAGTTAATCCATTTTCCGGATAACCATCAAACAGCGAACAAATATGTCATTTATCACACTCCCGTGCCGATTTTGCGACTCCGTAAATATGGTATTGCACAGCCGTGCATATATTTTGACGTGACGTCATTAGCGTTATACAGATGCGCTAAATGTTAGCGTTGTACTATAGGCGCGTCAATAAAAATGACTCTTATTTCACTTTAAACGGTCTTTATTTTGGGTATGTGATAAATAGAATATTCAATTCGTGTAATTTCATTACTGAAATTATTGCACTCGTTGAATAAAATAATATTATGCTCGCCAGAGGCTCGCATAATATAATTTTATTCAACTCGTGCAATAAATTCAGTACTGAACTTACACTCATTCAATATCCTCTATTTATTGAACAAGAACTTCAAAACAACAACTGAGACATACAACAGGCTTGTCTTTCTTGTCCACATCTATCTTCTCTACAGCATCTAGAGTTTCTAAGCCACCAACTACTCTGTAACAGCAGATGTGACACTTATATGGATAAAGTTATACTGATAGTCAGGGCAGGCTAATGTGAATGTACATAATTATAAATACTATCTGACTGAATGATATTAGACAAGAATATGGTGAAATACTTTCCATTTATTCATCAGAAATCAAATTGAAGAGCCATTAACTTTTACACTTAATTCTAAGTTAACAATGTACTAAAATATTTTTTTTCCCCTCTTGTACATGATAATTTTAATTTTCCGGTTTTATTTTAGAAGTCTGACTCAGACAAACTGGCGAAATGTGCTTACATAGTTTGTCAGCCTTCTCTTACCTACTTAACATCTTACCACACATTCAAACAAGAGCCGGTTGAACTGCGTGATTCTTCCCAAATAGGTTTTGGACACAGAAAAGTATACCTCTTGTAGTTTCAGAGTTATATCCCAGACAAAGTTCAGTGTAATAACTCAAAAATAAGGCAGAGCAGAGTTACTGTTCTTTCCACTGCACTTCTACCCTATGAGATCTATCTACCTACAAAGTGTCTTGTTTATATCTATTATACTTTCAGAGCTATGTCCTGGACAATGTTCAAAGTGTAAAAATGAACAAAGGGCAATAACTCCAAAATAAGCAAGGCAGGGCATAAAAATTCTCTATTTTAATCTAGTGTTCTATTTCAACATGCTGTCTGACGGTATGTTTTAAGATATGTCTTTCGACTCTTAAGGTATAAATTTGTAGTAACAATAACTAACCTTCCAAACACAGTATGTTTCCCATCCAAATGTTTAGCAGATCTAAATGTTAAGAAGCTGTAATAGAAGAATACATCAGTCTACTTATTATGGACACTTTCTATCTTTCAACATTAAATATAAACTGTAATATGACCCTGACAAGTGCAATACACTAACTGCTATAGCTCCCTTCAAAAGTGATCTAGTGCATTAACCAAATTAATATGTGAAAGCGATTAGGTATTCTAAATGTTATGTAATGGGGGTAAATAGATGTCTGTTTAACTCAGATAATCCATTTAAAGAATTAACATTCAAAGAGTACCCTTAAAGTAATAAATGCACAGTGTATAGTATATACAAATACTCAACTCAACTTTTACATGTGTAACTTTTAAAGTGTCATGCTCCAAAATATTTTAGAAAAATAAAACTGGAAAAAATGTATTTTTAGATTTTAAGAAAAGTAAAATTCAAGATACAAGTAATAATGTTATGTGTGATTAATGGCTGATATCACAATATTTCTACTGTGTGACTAACACAGTAAGGGCTTTTTTGGCATATTTTGACATCTATTTTGACATTGGCATGGATTGTAAGTGTTGTTTGCAATGTGTAAATTACTTTCAACACTATTTTACTTTTAAGAATACTAGTATTTTCAATTTTTTTATAAAAATTAGAATGAATCTGGTGGCCTGCTGCTTTCAGAACAACTTGCATGTACACAGTAAAGAAATTTCTACTCAGCTTGAAAAACAAAGTAAGTAAATCAGTTAAATCAGTAAGCCACAAATAGCAGCCCTATCTAAAATCTGAAATGAGTAATAACATCATGATGAAATTTTTCTGAAATTTTACCACTTGACTTTGAATGACATTGTTATTTTAGGATCCATGCTCATACTTAAATAACTCAACTTAAACTCCCAGCAAATTGTTATCTTAAAATAAGGCCCTAGTTTAAAGAAGAATGATGTAACAGCTAAGGATACAATTGTCCACACACAGACACACTGAAAATGAACATTAACCCCCTCAAACCCCTATTTATTGATAGATACAAGGAAATAAAAAGCTTGGTTATGCACATTTCTCACATTTTTTTCCATCACCTCAAAAACCCAGGCTATTAACCATATACCAGTATCAAATGTAGAACATACAGAATGTGTGCCATGGGTTCTAACAATGTCTTTTCAAATGATCGACCGCTGTTTTATGCAAAGTGATCAATATACTTACAACTGAGATTTGTTCGTGTTCGGTCCTGAGTTAGCCATACTGAGAATACCTCGTCCTGCGTGTGTAAGATTGGGTTTAAACTCGTCCTTAAAACTACCTCCCCAACATGATTCTCCACCTATATTCAAACATTACTAACATTATTGCTGTAGAAATACTAGTAAACTAAATACTACTGGAAGCTTAGTACTTTAAAGGAACTCCACTCATGTTCAAAAGCCTAAAAACATAAAATCTTAATTTCTTAAATAGATCAGCTGGGGCACTTAAAACAGAAGTAAATTTTGTGTATATGCAAATCTGAAATGATAGTTAAGAAATATAAATTGAAAGTAGTATTTTTGTGCCCTTCTTAGCACGATTCCAGTGAAAAGCGTTGTAACCTTTTCTATTTGGGGTCATTTTTCACAGTTAGAATCATTATTCTCGAAAAACGGAATGAGAGAACGATCTGAAATTCTGCGCGTGAGTTATTGGTCTACATCTACATGAAATAGAACATTAATCACCAAAAATTATTTTGAGGTCCGTCATGTCAAAAATCCTCAGTGGAGTCCCTTTAAGGTTGATATAAAAATATCAGATTTATGGAAATTGACTCCAATATAGAAAATTGAAATTAAGATTGAAATGAATTGTTTAAAACAAATAGTACCAAGAGTATAACATACCTGTGCCAGTACCTGTAGGATCCCCTCCTTGGATCTGCAAAACAAAATCTTCTTTTACACTTCCTTCTATCGGCAAATTATTCAAAATGTACTGGTACACCTGAACTATCATATTTCTATATTGTGGCTCTATTACTCTCCCAGACATCAAAAATATACATTTTTTACAAGTAGTTAATACCTTATGACACTGGAAATTTATTTTCTCAATATAATTTCCTTGAATAAAGCCTAGAAACACTTCCTTTAAGTGATATCATAATGTTTACAAGATATTACATGACAATTTCATCTAAAAGAAGAAAAACTCTCATGTTCTTAGAATAGCTTTATCCATGAAGCGTATACAGAAATTCTTCATATTTTCAATTTCGCCATCAAAGTTTTGATATTTAACTAAAAATAATATCATATTATATAGCGAAACTATAACGAAAAGTTTACCATGAAATTCCTGATAAGCCTATGGAACACTGTATCATTGTAATATCCCTTCTTACATAACTTGATAAAATTCTCACAAGTCTTTGGCACCTAGAATATTTGAATATAAAATAAGAGTGCATCAATCAAACATGACAGCTGTGGAAAAGAAAAGTTCAAACTGTTTGCTCCATGCAACTGTTTATGTACTGACAGTTTTTATGTACATGTATATTTTTACTCTAGATTATATTTCTGCCAAAATTTTCTTTCGTTTGTTACATATGCTATTCTTCACATTCAAGTTAAGTTCTATTACAGGAAAATTACATTTCATATCACTGTGAAATTATCAGATATCCGCCACTGTAATATAACCATAATCTACTGAAAAGTAAGTTATTTATAACCATAACCTACAGAAAAGCAAGTTACATATAACCATAATTTACAGAAAAGTAAGTTATATATCACAATAATCTAAAGAAAAGTAAGTTATATATCACCATAATCTACAGAGAAGTAAGTTATATATAACCATTATCTACTGAAAACTAAGTAATATATCACCATAATCTACAGAAAAGTAAGTTATATATATCACCATAATCTACAGAAAATTAAGTTATATATATCACCATAATCTACACAAAAGTAAGTTATATATATAATCTACAAAAAGCAAGTGAAATATAACTATAATCTACAGTAAGTTAATATATAACCATAATCTACAGAAAAGTAAGTTATATATCACCATAATCTACTGAAAAGTAAGTTATATATCACCATTATCTACTGAAAACTAAGTTATATATCACCATAATCTACAGAAAAGTAAGTTTTATATCACCATAATCTACACTAAAGAAAGTTATACATATAATCTACAGAAAGCAAGTGAAATATAACTATAATCTACAGTAAGTTAATATATAACCATAATCTACAGAAAAGTAAGTTATGTATCACCATAATCTACAGAAAAGTAAGTTATATATCACCATAATCTACAGAAAACTAAGTTATATATAACCATAATCTACAGAAAAGTAAGTTAAATATCACCATAATCTACACAAAAGTCAGTTATACTTATAATCTACAGAAAGCAAGTGAAATATAACTATAATCTACAGTAAGTTAATATATAACCATAATCTACAGAAAAGTTATAAGATAATCTCACCATATCACAGTGAAGCTCAATGTTGAGTTGACCGTAGTTTGTAACAATACGTACATATCCTTTCTTCTTTAATCTCCCATACCTTATAATATCCTCATCAATGATAGCTGCAGTCATAAAGTTTATTCTGATTAAAAATGTACTTGGCAGACTATTTATTGTTGAAATATCTGTATCTTGGACAAAAACTTATACCAAAGTACCTTATTGAAAAATTGTTAAAAGTAAGTGGCACATACAAAATCATTGCTAAACTTACTAAAAGAAACAGTCTAATATTTTGTTTGGGAACATTATATAATTATTACCCTGGTTTCTAATAATTCAAGTTAGGCTGACACTAAAAATAAAAGCAACATGACAATACAGTGAGTTAAAACTACAAGCCTCCAGATGAGACAAAATATTTCAAGTAAATGTTTTATTCTGCACAATTTATCACCTTCTTTCTACTGTGTAACTAACGCAGTAAGGGCTTTTGCATATATTGACCTCTTTCTTGTAATTACGTGGACTAAAAGTGCAATTTGCAATGACAATATTCCTTGATAACTTGATAATATTTTACATGTTAAGACATTTTAAAAATTTTCATGAAATCAGCCTGAATCTGGAGGCATGCTGCTTTAAAGCTTTATGCAATTTACAGTATTTTGAAATCTTTTTTATAAGAATGTATGCATTATAATATTTCATCAAGCATACAACAGCACAATAAAACTTTTAGATAATTTCAAACATACCAGCATGATGTTCTGTCTCTGGAACCATAGCTGTTGAGGTGAATGATGCTGCAACTGCTCCTGTGGAGTAATGGGCCTAAAATGAGAGGCAAAACTGATCATTTAGCTAACAATGAGAGGCAAAACTGATCATTTAGCTTACAATGAGAGGCAAAACTGATCATTTAGCTTACAATGAGAGGCCAAACTGATCATTTAGCTTACAATGAAATGCCAAATTGATCATTTAGCTTACAATGAGAGGCCAAACTGATTATTTAGCTTACAATGAGAGGCAAAACTGATCATTTAGCTTACAATGAGAGGCAAAACTGATCATTTAGCTTACAATGAGAGGCAAAACTGATCATTTAGCTTACAATGAGAGGCAAAACTGATTATTTAGCTTACAATGAGAGGCCAAAATGATCATTTAGCTTACATTGAGAGGCCAAGCTGATCATTTACCTTACAATGAGAGGCCAAACTGATCATTTAGCTTACAATAAGAGGCCAAACTGATTATTTAGCTTACAATGAGAGGCCAAACTGATCACTTAGCTTACAATGAGAGGCCAAACTGATCATTTAGCTTACAATGAGAGGCCAAACTGATTATTTAGCTTACAATGAGAGGCAAAACTGATCATTTAGCTTACAATGAGAGGCATAACTGATTAATTAGCTTATAATGAGAGGGAAAACAGATCATTTAGCTTACAATGTGAGGAAAAACTAATATGTCTTCCAAGAGAGGGAAAACTGAATAATGAAGCTTCAATGAGAGAGAAAACAGAGTTATGAGTCTTAACACTATAAAGTCTCATTCATAAAAGATTAGGGGAAAACCCCACTGCAGTGCTCAATTTAATGAAGTCCTTTTATTATTATAGAAAATTTTATTATCTAACATAGACTTACAGAAAACACTCAATGCGAGGAAGAATTGAATATTGAGCAAACAATGAAAGTGAAAATTGAAAAGTGAGCAAAGACATGATGGTACAAAGAAAAACAAAAATTTCATTACAAAGTCCTGCAATACTCACATAAAAAAGATGAAAAAATCAGCAGTCTTAAACATCTTGCCAAGGGGGCCATTATCGTAGCTTATAAACAAATTTAAATGGACAGGTAAATATCTTAACAAATTCTGTGTAAGGTTAGATTTTCTAAATTGTAAACAATAAGGATTTATCCTACAGCATTTAGATTTAGAATATAGTGTATAATTATATACATACAGAATTAAATCTGTCAGCTTTTCTCTTGATCTCCGGTTTCTTTTCCTGAAGAGAAAAAAATAAACAAAATATGATATACATGTATTGATATAAACAATGAGAGAAATCACGCAGTATAAACTGTTTTATAAACTTAAATTGGTATTTTAATCTTAGATTTGTTCCTGCATTTCATTAGACAATGAAATTATACTTCTATAATTTCATTGTAGTGGAATTATATTTGAGTGCAAATGAAAAGAACAAATCATAAATGAGTGAAAATTTTGTCCATTAAATATATATACATATTTGCACATATCATGTTAAATTGAAACAAAATTCAATAACATCTACAGAATTATTTATCAAATGAACATTGTTATGTCATGATTTGATATAACAAGGCATAAACCAGTTAAATTGACATAGATCCAAGAAATATGAAATATCTTCAGACAAAATATCAATTATAAATTCACCATTGTAACTCATGGCATACACAGTGGAAATATGTTAGTAAAACAATGTTTCAGGCTATATCTACCAGCAGTTTTATAATAATGCATGTTTGTAACATTGATTTTCATTGGATAATAGCGAGGCATTATATAAACTATATAACAGCTGTTTAGGGGTGTGGATCGTCGGATAAGTGACGATCCTATCTGATCCATGATTCAGCACTTGCGATTCACAAATCAAACCACAAATCTTTTGTTATCAAGACACTCATAAAAACATGAACATTAGTTCTGAAAACATGTTTTTTTTCTTCTTAAAACAATACTAAACATTAATTTCATTAAACATGCAAATATAAACTAGGTTAAAAGGTTGAAAACCAGTCACGCCAATATAAAATTCCACCAGCAAAATTTACTTTCAATGAAAATGAGGAAAAAGCAGTTTGTAAAACATGTCATGGCCAATTGGCTTATACAGGCGGTACAACGAACTTGTCTAATCACCATGATCACATGAAAAGACAAGTATTTCCAAAAATTTGAAGTAAATTTTGCTGGTGGGATTTTATATTGGCGCGACTCCTTTTCAGCCAATACATGTGATGTCAAACTGACGTATTAACTTGCGTTTCGCAAATTTAGGATCCTTAAGAATAAAACAGTCTTCAATACATGTCACTTCATTATAGATCTATACATAGCGACTAAAAATATTTATTTATTTTCTTATAAAAACAAGCGCTCAATAAAGATAAAGTGATTCCCTTTTCGAAACGAATGACTTCCTAGCTCAGCATCATGGTACATGTTTGTTTACTTTCTGTCTTTAATTTAGGTAAACGTCGCATAATTCATACACAAATTGATTTTTTTGTTGACATTTAAAGTGTAAGAAACAGCGAATGTATAATAAACAAATAAGATCGCAATCCACGATCCCTGGACTGACGAATATTCGTACTCGATTTTTCATTTTGATTCTTGATTATCCGAGTACTCAGATACTCGCCCCAGCCCTACAGCTGTTGTCCATTTATTAAGAAATTTTCGTTTGTTTTTTTTTTGCAAAGAAAGTAATTTTGCTGAATTACAAATTTGTTATCAAGATGTCTGATATGTTATATGGCCCTGTAGAAACAGCTCTGGTTATATTGTAACCCTAACCTAATAGCTCTGGTTATACAGTCGAGACTGTCATATGTGACTTTCCAAGGGATCTTCAGAAAAAGTTCACATATGACAGGGAGTCTCTAAATACAGTCTCAGAGAAAATTAAATTTAAATACCATCTATCTGTCTATAAACCATTGTGACTTAACATACATAACTGTGTGAAGGAATAATATCTAACCTATTGCAAATAAACATACAGTAGGTATTCTTAAAAAAATTTATGTAAATAAAATAAATATCCATGTAAAACAAATATATTCGCATGTATAGACCCTTTCATTTAAGCGATAACAGTCAGGGAAGAGTTACTTCCCTTACCGGATGTGACGTAAATGGGGGATAAAACTATGCAGGCCGCATAGAATGTTAGCTTATTGAAAAGTTAAATGCGTAAATACTGACCGTTCAATTATGATTATAACATGTAAAAATTAACAAATGCATACATAAATTCAATATCAAGACAATAGAAAAAAAAACAAAGATTGGGAACGGAGTGAAACAGCGAAATTTCAAAGTGAATATATATATATTAGAGCTAAATTTTCTCAGGATAAAAAGCTAGTAACTATAAAAATCGAATTTTAATATTTTATAAGCACCCATACACACTGAAATTGCCTATTTTAAATTTAAATGGCCATTTTCTAGTTTTCTGTGTTATTTCTGTCATTTAGAAAATTCCAGCGTTTCTGACAAACATGAAAATAAGATTGCCCCATCTTTTAATAGTTGTTTTTCAAGCTTTAATAGAACAATAACAGAATGCATTATGTCAATACTTACTGATTCTTTTTCATTATGCCGTATAAAAATATTTCAAAGAACCAGTGAAGGATATAGATCTAATTTTATGATTATTCCGGAAAGAACGAAAACCATGAGGCATTGACTTTTATTATTTTAGATTCGCAACAGACGATAGATATTAAAAATTTATTCTTATGGCTATAAAAATAAAGACCTTTTCCCAGTAACTTATTTCATGGATAAATAGATGTGTGTGTATAAGCGCCACTGGGCCGTAACATATTAAATAACAGGGTGCATATGTTGTATATACAAGCAGCACTTGGCTGTGATATCATAAATCACCAGGGTGCATTTTTTAGAGTTATAATATTACATCAGATTACGTCACTTTTGTTAGTTGTCAAACTATTTATGGTCCAAATTTTGTTATGGATCATCCTAGGGACTTTATTGGTCATGCCTTACTGATTTGATAATCGATCAAGAGTCCTACCAACTGGCACAGTCAAAAATACGTAAAATTATAATTCAGTTAATAAAATTAACGAATTTCTGCGAACGTGTTTCACAACTTGTTTTTTTGTTGTTTTTTTTGTGATTTTTTTAAATATTTGATAAGCAGAGTATAAATTAAAATGTTTCAAGTTGAAAATATTACTTTACCAGCTTAAATATATTGGTGTATTTTTTATATTGTTTTTGAGAGTGCATTTTTTGCCGACACAAATAGCTAGTATACAGTCATGTACATTCAAAAGAATTTTTACTTTTTATGCCTTTACATTTTTTTTGAAATTACATAGATTTATATTGTTGTTTGTCTTCGTCTAAGTAATGCTTAAATCAAAATGATTTTTAATAAACCAGTATCTTGCAATTAATTATTACGCAGCCTTTTTTCGAAACTACCTAAACGAACATGATTATCATGATCAGTTGCCCAGCAATATAGTCTACTATTAAAACAAATTGTTAACCTTATTATAGTTAACATTCTTATTTATTCATTTCACCATCCTTTTTATGTAATATCTTATTCAATTACACAAAATTTTGGCAATTAAAGAAAGGATTAAGATCTTTATATCCCTCTATTATTGTACTTAATCTGGGACACATCGTACATCCCAGACTTAATCGTATCGGCACTGTCCACCGTATCCCCCAATGACCTCATCCAAGGGCGACAACTTGAATACGGTCTTAAATGAAAGGGTCTATATCATATAAAATTTAATTTTATTTTTTGTATTAGGATTTAAATTGAATTGGGACCAGACAATTAGGGTCGCTTGTCACATATGACAGGGAGTCGTTTAAATCAGACCATTTATATAGGAAAATACGTTGGGAGTACTGAAACAAGGTCGGATAAGACAGGGAGTCGTTTAATTCAGGGGGTCGCTTAGGCAGTCTCGACTGTATAAACTTAGAATCATTTATACTGAGTTATATAACCTGTAAGACATATCAATAACTAATTTTATATCACTGCACATTTGTAATGTCGCTTATCCTTAGCTAACCGTAATGTTTATATAATTACATATACATGTACACAGCCACTGTCAATTTATGAAGAAATCTCTTTTTTTTTCCCAAAGAGAAAGTTTGCTGTATTAAAAATTGGATATAAAGACTCTTGATGGGTTATATGGCCATATATAAACAGTAGTTTGCCTAGTGGCTCAGTTATATAAGCAAAAATATTTTATATAGGGCCATATAACCTCTAAGATATCTTTACAACTAATAAAATACCGGGGCCTGATATTCCTTCTCTAGTGTCTCTAGGATATCTTGTGTCTCAGCGTTCACAGTCTTCAGTTTACTTGTACTGCCTCTGCTACCCCCATCTTCATCTATAACATGCAAAATAAATACAAACCTTATTTGAGCCGTGTCATGACAAAACCAACATAGTGCATTTGCGACCAGCATGGATCCAGACCAGCCTGCGCATCCACGCAGTCTGATCAGGATCCATTCTGTTCGCTTACCAACCCTATTACAAGTAGAGAAACTGATAGCGAACAGCATGGATCCTAATCAGACTGCGCGGATGCGCAGGCTGGTCTGGATCCATGCTGGTCGCAAACCAATTATGTTGGTTTTGTCGTGACGCGGCTCATTTGTCTTTGTGTATATCAAAGTTAAAACAAGATCTTCAAAAAAAAAAGGAAAACAAAAACAAATTTAAAACAAAACAAGAGGTGTCGGTAGGACAGTCTGATCACTATTTTCAGTGCTTGATGACAAAACAACAGCCTGGAGAATTTTCTAAGTTCAAAAACAGATTTTTTTTGTCAAAATCCATGTAAGAGTTATGGGCCTTGGACAGTGACCTCCTAATATGCTCTCAAATACATGCCATCCATTCACTACAGTTGTTTTGGAGATACATACTAACTAAACTGAAATGTGACACTGACATGAGTACAATAGCTCTCGCTATTCTTTTAATAGTCCAATGCAGTGTTTTTTACATATAACCAATGAGACTTTATTAAAGAACACATATTTTCATCATTTAATAGCTAAATCTTAACAGCATAACGTCCCATTCACAAAAGACTGGGGGAAAAACACACTGCAGTGCTCATTTTAATGAAATCCTTATATTATTACAGAATATTTTTATAAGTTTTTTTATTCCTTATGCACATTTTTTTTCCAGATTATAAATACAATTCAATATACAAAGCAAGAAACATCTCAATGGTTTTGAACTTTCCTTTATTTCATTCATAAATTTCAATACCTCACTGAAGTTAAATAAATCTATTTACTCTACCTTCTTCTCCCGCCTTTAAATTGTTTTTCACATAATAAAACTTCTGTATGTTGAATTTATCAAGATTTGATGGGTCCTGAAAGTGATGAAAAACTTAAATTTAGAATGCACGTACAACATATGTAGAAATATAGGAGCTTCTACAATAAACATAGTTTCACCTTAGTGCAGTAACAGGTTAAGTCCTTCTGAATTTAATGGGAGTTAACCAGTTATTGCACTAAGGTGAAAATATGAACATTTCCATATTACATATGTACTACTAGATTTTGAAGGAACTCTTACAATAAACATATCGGCATTTCACAGTGACCATGATACATTTCAAGAAAATACTTTTAAGAAACTCCACTAATGTTTTGTGACATAATGGACTGGAAATCATTTTTCCAAATTTATATACAATTTAAAAAACAATTGTAGGTCTGGCCCAATAACTATGGTACAAAATTTCAGAGCATTTACACATTCTGTGTTATCAGAAAAGCATTGTTATTGTGCAAAATGTCTCAAAAATGAAGTGTCTGAATGAACTTGAATTGGTCTAAGATACACCATTAAAAAATAAATTTCAGTTTATTTCGAGGTATCTTTCTTAACCCATTACTTCATGAGCATTTTGTGAAAAATGGCTGTTTTCATTGAAAAGTCTCCTGTTACAAGTTCAAATTGCTATAATACTATAAAAACTGCTTCAACACTAATCAAACTTGGCACAAATGTTGACTGGATCATTGCCCTTGCAACAACATGCTCAGGCTTAAATTTTCTGTTACCATGGCAACGAGGGGACATCTCAAAATTGCCAAAAAATCACTATTTTGCGTTGATTTTTTCCATCAAAATTGATTTCAAAGTGCTGTAACTTTTCAATGGATTGAGATAGAGTCAAATGCTTTTCAGCGTTGGTTACACGTTACCTTATGATCAATCTGGGGTCATTTAAGAGCCTCTCACAAGTCCAAAATTTTCTTGGCGATGAGGGGGACTCCGCCCCCCTTCAAACCCCCCAAACAGAAGGGGGCACATCCCCCTTCTGGCAACCCCCTGATGTATCTTTTGGTTTGGGGGCCGCGCCGAAAAAGAGGTCACTTTTTTTAACAACATTTCTCAAACAAAAACAAGTGTTTGGGGCCTAAATAAGGCATTTTTTCATCATTTGAGACAACAAAAAGGGGGGGGGGGGTGATAAAGGCGTTAAAAGGCGTGTATATGAAGTAATGGGTTAATAATCTTTTGCATTTTTTTCATTTTAAGTGCCCCAGATGATCTCAGATGACAGAATTTCAAATTTTATGTTTTTAACGCTTTAAGACCTCATTTGAACCCCTGTAAGACACTGTCCATGATTATATTTTGCATAGTTTCCTATAGAAACACTTAAGCCACGCCTGCTGATAAGTTTTGTTTAAATTGAACTGTCTAGACTTTGGCATCTGAGCAAATTTTTAAACATGTATGTATTTTTTAAGTTTATGTGACTATAAACAAAAAGTTATTACTGTTATCCAGATTTTGTCACAAGTATAATTTTTGTTACATTCACACATTTTTTCCCTAGTTAATTCAACATTACTACTTGTTTAACTTTGCTTACCTGTATTGTAATAAGCTCTTTTCTAATAAATGGTTCATCAGTAATTAAATCTCTCCAGAAGTTTGCCTTGATATTTAACCTCTCTATAGCCTAGAACAAATTTACAGAATCATAATATAAATGTAACAAGAAACATGGCAATGCCACGAAACCAGGTTTTCAATTATCTCCATTGTAGATAAATATGTTGTATTTGTAATACAAATGCAAGCAATAAACAATGTAACTATGTGCAATGTAAAACATGAATAATGTAGGAGGAATTGCCACAGAAGAAGTGTTCACTGTATATTCTGTATAAGGAAAAAATGTATTCTGTATAAGGAGAAAAAACAAAGGGCCATAATTAGGTCAAAAATTATCCAATCACAAAACCTCTACAATATGCACCAGGTCACATGATGACAAAGCTTCTGTGAAAGTTTGAACAAAATCTGTTGAGAAATGTAGGACTAGTTCAGCACAGAAGAATTTGTTCACTACATATTGATAATTCTGTATAAGGAAAAAAAACAAAGGGGCATAATTAGGTCAAATATTATCCAATCACAAAACCCTAACAATATGCACCAGGGCACTTGATAACAAAGCTTCTGTGAAAGTTTGAACAAATCTGTTGAGAAAATGTAGGACTAGTTCAGCACAGAAGAAATTGGTTCACTATATATTCTGTATAAGGAAAAAAACAAAGGGCCATAATTACATCAAATATTATCAAATCACAAAAACCCCGACAATATGTGCCAGGGCACTTGATATTAAAGCTTTCTGTGAAAGTTTGGTCAAAATCCGTTGAGAAATGTAGGAGGAGTTGCGCACAGAAGAAATTGTTCACTATATATTCTATATAGGAAGGAAAAAAAACAAAGGCCCATAATTAAGTCAAATATTATCCAATGGCAAAACCCGGACAATATGTGCCATGGCACTTGATGACAAAGCTTCTGTAAAAGTTTGGTCAAAATCCGTTGAGAAATGTAGGAGGAGTTGCGCACAGAAGAAATTGTTCACTATATATTCTATATAAGAAAAAAAAAACAAAGGGCCATAATTAGGTCAAATATTATCCAATGGCAAAACCCGGACAATATGTGCCAGGGCACTTGATGACAAAGCTTCTGTAAATGTTTGGTCAAAATCCGTAGAAAAATATAGGAGGAGTTTGCGCACAGAAAAAATTGTTTCACTATATATTCTATATAAAGAAAAAACAACAAAGGGCCATAATTAGGTCAAATATTATCCAATCACAAAAACCCCGACAATATGTGCCAGGGCACTTGATATTAAAAGCTTCTGTGA